TCGCCTATAATTATTGTCGGCGGCGCGGCGGCGGCGGCTGGAATTCATCGTCGCCGGACGATCCTGATCGCCGCGACGGCGAAGATGTCTAGTGGAATGCGCGCGCAACCGCCATGCAAGGACGTCGACACGATAAATGGCCCACAAAACGAGCAAAATTACGTGGAATCATGACGTCTTTCAACGAATGCGAGTTACGAGTGTTACGACTGTACGACGATTACACATTATTATAATTAACGTCGAGAGTCGTATTACTGCTTCGAGTGTGCAATGTGCAATAATACTAAAACAAACTACGCCGCAAATACGAATTGAACACATTTTATCATACTGAACAATATAATAATTGTTTTTATTATTATTGCGTTATACCCAATCTTCAATTTAATAGCGTTTGATATAGATTACAATTTATAGCTGGTATAAGAGCTGATATAGTTGATATCTATTCATTATAAATAATAATAATATTATTAAAAACTGATTTTGTCCTCTACATATTCATAAATACAATTTCAAATCTTCAGGCGGAGAAGAGAGTTTGAATTCAGATCGATTTTGATAATATTTGTCATTGACAAGTAACAAGGACTAAACAAATGTCTCACTCCGCTCCAGTTATTACAATTTGACAGACATCACTAAATTTTATTTGTAGGTTTTTGTTGCTACATTTATGATACAGGTACAAAAAAAAAATATATATATATATATATATATTAAGATACATATTATACAAGAAATATACTCGACAACTAAAACATAATTACAAGAATTAACCTAACGAAATAATATTAATGTTGCTATATTAGAAATTACTATGAAAACTATAGTGTTTAGCGATTAACCAAAGAAATACCATAATAAAATTTTATTATTATTTAGGTTTCTGAAAAAATATTTAATCTTTCTATAATATCTATTAGCATTATATTATTTATATTATATCTATCCTTTTAAACATGTACTTCACAGCTCACGTCTTCACATAACTAGCTAAATTTGTAAAAATTAGTATGCTGACCGGTGTCTACATCTTATGATAAGCATAATAATACGTAGGTAATAATATGTATTGGTAGACAAAATACGTTCGTCCGTCATCGCAAAAAAATGAACATATATAATATATACCTACTTATTATGTATTAAAATATAATATCTAATTGTTTTCCTTATTACTACATAATAGTTTGTCCAGCTAATTTTATTTTTACATTTATTTTAATTTCTTTATGATCTATTTTTCATCCGACTTCTAAAATCGCTAGAAGTTTGAGTCCTGAAACCGGCATACGTATTTCATATTTGCACATAATATGCACCTATAAAGCTGATAAAGCTATATAAAGCGGTTTTCGTACCTTCGAAGGTATACAATAGCAGGTCATTTATTCATTTTTACTGACTCATGTAGGTACATAAATATAGTTCAAATGCGATATTGTTCATTTATAGCTGATATATAAATTATAGTTCAAAATATTAAATAATTATACTTTACTACAATGCTACTATTTCTACCTAACTTATGATTAAATCTATGTACAATTTCAATTCATGTTAAAGCTATATTAATAAGCAATAAAATAACTATAACAAGAATACAAAATGTGCCTTTATGCCTTATGGCTGTGTAACGTGGCTGGGGAACCTAGTTACTATATTAGTTATCCAGGGAAGGTTTTCTGGTCCTTACGGATAAATTTTCCGTAGCTGGGGGGTTAGAACACGGTATGTGGGATCTTATCAATAAATAAAACACGTTTGGTTTATAAATCTCTGTTCAAAATATATTTTTGGTTTGTACTTAACAAAATGTAGATGGTGGTAAACAATCCCAGTGTTGGTGAGTTCATGTTTTTTGGTGAGTTCGTGTTTATTGCTGGTCAGTCTCGAACTGCCCTTTCGATAAACGGTGCGTATTGGCCACAGGCCTCACAATCATTAACAATGTTTATCTCAGCATAAATATCCCACTATTGCCTACTACGGAATTGACACATACATAGGTGTCATGTAACAATAATATATATTATTGTTACAGCTGTATCGCTCCTTAGATATTATATTTACCGATACTGTTCGTTGACGGCAAATCATTGTAGTATTGCAACATAACAATAATACAAAAATACGAGTATTTATTATCGTAAAGTAATAAAGAATTATTTTTCTAATACGATTATATTATAATTATTATTTTTTTTAATAACTATGCACCTATTATTATTGCAATTCAAACAATGTACAATGGCACCAAAGACGAATTATACTAATTTAACACTATATTACCCAAACATATTTAACTGAACTTATTCGTATTATTCTAATTAATGGTTGAATACCTATTTATGTATAAAGGCGGACCCAGGGGTCCACATTTGGCCTTTTTTCTTATTGAAATCAAAAACTGTAGACTTATGATTTAGAGTTATACAGTTTAGTTTAAAATTTGAAATAATAATTGTGGCTGAGTTTTCACCAATAATACGCTTAATTTGTCAGATAAAAAAGCTAAATTATTTTCTTATTGTTATCATATCTACATCATTATGAACCATATGAAATAAATCCAGCGTAAAATGACAAATTTTCTTAGTAATTGAATAAGTATCTTACCGATACATTCATTTATTGGTAGATCGTAGATCGGTATTATAGAGTTATTATAGAATTGAATATTCGATTTCAATAGGTGTTCATTAGCGGATATTTAACAATAATGAATAAAAAAAATTAAAATTAATTACATTCATGTAATGCTACTTATTTACTTGCTAATCAATTATTTATAATTATATATATTTTTTTTAGCATTTATTTCCTATTACTCTAATTAAAATTTGTTGACAGTACACTTACTCACAGTCATAAATATCTGAAATTAGTTGTAAATCATAATTAGGTATAATAAACATACTTAGGTGGATACTTTTCCTATTACAACGGTGAAATATTATATTACCTAATTAGTTTAAATACCTAGTTATTTAACGGTTGTAAATCGTAATAGTTCGAACAAGTTTAATTTAAAGCGTCTACTACGTTTTTAATTTATACATTGACCATTGACGTAGGTAAACGGTCATGCAAATTAATAATACCTATATTTACACTCTTGTATAATCCTGTTGGCTATTCTTCAACTTGTCTTCCAAATTCCATTTTTGCTGTGAATACCATAATTAATTATTGCTTTCTAGTGTGTGTAATATTATTTATGAATGATAAATGTACTTTTAAAGTGATATCAACTGCAGTAATGATTAATTATTTTAGCTAGCGTTATTAATTAAAAATGTTGATTTTTTAAATTTTGTATTTTATTATAGATAGGATAGGATGAGATTATGAGGTCAAAACAGTAATACATTCGACCTCTAGAATATGATCTTAAAGAGTAGTCACTGGGATAATATAGATAATAGATCTTGATAATTCTTTCATTAAATTCAAAAATAATAATATTATTATTAATGATACAAATGGGTTTTTAAATATTTACTAGTTACCTATATATTCTACAGTTGTATGCAACCTAGTTTAGGCACAACTACAACACTACCTATATTAATTGTTTCGTCTTCAGTTTAGTTTTTGAAATGTAAATAAATGGTTTGTAAATTATTGCTATCAATGCATTTAATTAAAATATTGTGTATGTAGTATTATAAATAATAATAATGTACCTAGTGGTGGTTAAAGTTTCAAGTCCTTACGGCTTACAAACAATATTATTTTGAATCACTACAAAATAACAACTAAAATTTTTATTTTTGTTTAAATATCTAATTTTGTAAATATTTGAATTTGAATATTTTCGATGTGCATTTTTGAGATATTTAGATTATAGTAAGAAAAAAAGTATGAACATCATTATATTCAATTTTTTCAAGCCTTAACTACTTACATTTTAAATTTGAAAATAGCATGTAAATTTTTGTAACTTTGTTTCAGTTACAGATACTCATAAAAATTCGTGCCTATTTATTTTCAATTTTTTTGATGTAATAAATTTTTATATACGTATACTTATATGAGAAATATTATTTAATATTTTTAAGTATTTAAATCAAGAATACATTTTTTTTGGAAAAAACTATAATTTAAAATCATAAGATAACTTAAAAAAGAGCCAAGTGTATTTTGATATATTTTTAAAATTATATTAAGTCTGTAAATTCTAGAAATTACTTATACCTATAAGTAATTAGGTATTAAAAATTATTTGTTTTTGAATTACAATAAAAAACAAAATAAATTTTAATTTGTATTAATGATTATATTGTGTTGCGTAAATATTAGTCCAAAGTACTACTTATCTATTATAAATGTTAAAAAAAAAAATTATATATATACATTAATACTTACATTATTTAAAAACTAATTTATACATTTATGACATTGTTTATAAGTTATATTAATTAATAGGGCTTAAAATTTCTGATAGGACTTATTTTTTTTTTTTTTGTATGGTTAGAGTTACATCCGATTGATCGTCTTCTAAATACACGACGAGAATAGCATAATACAGCCAATACAGGCCCTATTTTTATGTGCACTACGACACACTGTGTGCACCACGAATGTACAAGTGTGCACTACGGTCTGTAAAACAAAAATTAAATAATATGCCAGCTACTAGAAAATATGAGAATTTCCTGAATTTTTTAAATTTAAATTATACTGAATTATAATTTCTTTCTATTAATTTTCAAACATTGTTATCAGTCAAAAATATTTTGTTGTTATATTCAATTATTATACACACACACATATATATATATTTATAATAAATTTCTTTTTCCAAGACAGTAGCGAGAGTCAAATTTCTGTTTAAAGCAATAAAATTAAGTGTACAGTCCGAAATTTTACAAATAATAGGGCCTGCCATAACACATACGAATACATTAATATCAAAATAATAAATATGTACTATGTATGCATCAATAATATTAACTTTGTAGAGGCGAGTTTATAATTATTTCACATGTTATATGTTTTAACAAGCAACAAAAAGGTTGCTTAGATATCTAGTTGTCATAAGTTACAACTCACACTAATATACATTTTATGGTAATGATAATAAACTATTACAACTGGTAAGTACACAAAATTCCGTTTACATAATGAATATTTATGATAGAAATATCACATATTCAATGGTCATTAATACCGGATAAGAACCAAATAGTAAAATATCAAAACGTAATTAATATAATTTACTCAGACATGATAATTTTGCAATTGAATAATGACTAATAAGTAATAAGTAATAACTATCGTGGTTTTAAAATTAAAGATGCTTGTACTAATAAGGTATCTTGAGCGCTATCTGTCTAAAAAATCAAAAGCAAAAGAAATAAACTAGAATTCTTCAAATGAACGTTTAATTCGTTTTCTTTCGTGATTCAAATATTTAGCTTTGTACGTTCCCCACCTGTCTGTCGGGCCAATGGTTGTACATGCGCAGTACGCTCGCTTATCATTATTATCATTGTTATTGTTGTCAACACCAAGACAACTAACGTAAAAATGTACGACAAGTGTAACGTTTTTTTTTTAAAAAGTGTTTGTAGTTTGTTCTCAGAATATTTATCCTACCGAAACATGATTTGTAAATGCATTAGATTTTTGACATGATTATCGGTCGTTTAAGTATTACGCTGTGTCGAGGATAATAATATACATCGTGTAAGCATACAGTTTAAATTATATAAAATAATTAAAATACCAAGATTTCCATATTTATATTTTAAAATGTCGAATTATTCAAATATTCCAAACTTGCCTACGTATTCTCAATTCCGAGCTACAGAAACTGTAAGTTATACACGTTGACAATATTTATTATTACTTAATCATTAAGTCTTAATTGTTTAATTATTTTGTTAAGTGGCAAATACTAGTCGAACATTTTAGAAGTGGCATGCCGTTAAAATCTCATCGGCACCAGCTTTGGTTTAAAGACAACTGTTTCACTGGATTTGAAGCAGTTGATTGGATGTATAATGAAGCATCTTCTGGGAAAATACAACATTTATTTAATAAAGGAATTACACGTCAACAAATAGTAGCATTAATGAATAAATTTTTTGAGGCTGAAATTTTTAAAGCTGTTAGTACAACATTAACAAAATTTAAGGATAAGTCAGAATTATATGAGTGAGTACCATAATTTGTTAAATAATTTGTTTTACTTTAAATTAAGCAAAAATCAAGTTTTTAAAGATTGTCGTTTTAGTTTTTTATATTAACTACATTAGAATAGATATTACTTACTTCAATAACTTGAATTTAAAGAGGAATAAAAATAAATTTAACTTGTGTTTTTTTTTAATTGTACAACTTAATTTAATTTCATAAATAATTTTAACTACAAGAAAATTAAAGATTTAAAAAAACTTATTTTTAAATGTTATATTTAACGATTTTACAATATTTACATTGTTCTTAATTTTTTTTTTATTATACAATATTTTTTTTCATACATATTTTCATCAATCATATTTTTATTAGCTATGTAATTTTTTATTTAAGCATCATATTTATGTGTAAAATAATTAAAAGTTAAATGTTTTTTTTAAATTTCTATCCAATATTAACTGTCTAATGTCTTAATTCTAAAAATTATTATACCTAAATTTATTTTTAGTTTGTGACTTCTACTTGTCATAATCGCATACAATTTATTACTACTGTTTCAGATTTTCCTTACCAAAGAATATGAATAAAACAATTAGCAAAGGATCTGTATTATCATCATTAAATGTATTCCTTATGAATAAACCAAAATCATTGTCCCCTCAACCCAAAAAAAGTGATAAAATTATTAGTAGTCATAGAATGAAGTCTTATTCAATGGAAAATGTTGCAATGAACACATATTTAAACGAAAACCACAAAATTGCTAATTTTATCTTACAAAAGTAAATATTTATTAATTATGCTTCTAATACATATAGGTTTAGGTATATAATTACATACAATTAATCAAAATAAACTATATCTATAATTAAAAGTTTCCTCTACTTAAAAAAAAAACTAACTATTAACCTAAAAGTTAAACAATTTAAATTTTGTTCTTATTAATAATGTAAATAATTTAACACATAAATTACTTGATAAATAATGTGGAGTCTCATAAGATTTTAAAAATAATTTAATAATTCTGAAAAACATGATTACTTTTTATTCATAAAAATGTAAATTTAAGTAATATATTATTTGTTAATTTATAGTTTACAGAATATATTAAAGAGTTTTAATATGGATGATTTTTTAAATACTGAGAATTTAAATAAGCAGTGGATAATTATGAATATTTATAATCAAGATTATAATGTTGATGGCTTATTTCCACATTGGGTAAAGTCTGCAATGGATAGCTTGACATCTGGTAACTATAATTTATGTTTAAGTATTAGTTCTTTGTATAATAATAATGTTTAAACATAAAAAAATATGTATGTACTGTATTTAAATAAGATATTTTACAAATCTGGAATCAATAAACAATTATTACAAGTTCTGTGTTTATGATAATAGGTACCAATTCATACTTTTATTACTTTACCAAAGCTAATAAAATAATGAAAGTGCTATTGACTTTTAATGTTTATCTGTTCTATTTCTTTGAATATTTTAATGAATACAAGAATTATTAGTTATTTTATTGGTATAATATAACTACTTCAATATTGTATATTTAATTTTAGCCAAATTTTTACATTCCTAAAATGTATTATTTTATATTATAGTTGGTAAAAATTTAAGTTATATTACTAGTAAGTTTGCTAAAACATTTTTAGTTAAAAATGTAAGTACTCACTGATCAGTCTAAATAAAACTACAAATAATTAAATAAATAAGAACTATTTAAAGCATTTTTTGATTGCTGAAACTCTTGATTTATTTACCTATATGTTTAAATTGTATAAATTATAAAACAAATACCTATTCTATTCATTTAAACAATAAAAATATATATTTTGAATTTGCAGTACATTCTTAAAGTTATCAATATTTATTATTTGTCATAAATTATTCATAATTATTTTATAATTTATTGATTTTTATTGTTTAGATGTGGAAATGAATGAATGCACTTATCCTGGATTTAAAGCTGATGTTTATTCTGTAATCAAGGATTATTTTTTAAACTCGGAGGAACCACTGATTCCCATATCTTTTTATGAGATATTTATTTCTATTTTAGTTGTGGTTGAAAGATATGATCATATGTGTAATAAGAGAGTAAAAAAAATAGAAAATAATAATTCATCTCGATTATCATCAAATATGTGTTGGGAAACTGAATTTTCCACTGATCATTCAAAAACGTGTATTGTAAATAAATGTTTTGATATTTCTGAACATCAAGTATCATTACTTTCCAGATCTTCTGTCAGTAGTTGTAGCAGTACATCATTTTTTGAATCATGTGAAGTAGAACAAAGTAAAATGGAACATAAACCACTAAATATTTCACATAAATATTTAAAGCCGAAGTTAACTAGAACAATCAGTTCACCAGAAATATCTGTGAAATCACAATCATATTATCAAAAAAATATGGAAAAAATAAGAAAAAGGAAAATGGGTCGTACTATTTCTAATAACTCAATTACTCCAAAAAATTTAAATGAACTTAATGAGAGCTTTTATTCAGATGAGTATGGTTTTAAAAATAAACCATTAGAAAATAATAAATATGTTTGTCCATCTACTTCTGGATATGTCAATTTTGGACTTTTTCAATCTGAAAAAATAAGTTACGATGACACAAATGGCTTTGATTTAGATATGGCAATTTCTACTCTTCATAAGCTAATTGATATAACACAAATGGACCATACGCTTGCCCTTAAAAATCAGTCATTTAATGGTATGATTAAATATCGTAATTGCATATTAATATATATTCCTAAAAACTTTTGATCCTAAGGTGATAATATTTTAAACAGTTTTGAGAGAAGTTTCAAAGTCTAACTAACAGTATAAGGTTTACTGATACTGTGTTTAATTTTTAAAGAATGTTCTTTCCTGATTTATTATACTTTAGAAAAATATTGTTTCTTTATTAATTTAATTATAAGTTATAATTTATAAAATCTAATCTACTTGAAAATATTGCATTCAATTTTCAATTAAAAAAATAATTTAAAAATTACTTTTTGTAATATATAGATTTAATTTATGTTATGAATTAACATTATTTATTATTTATAGGTTTAAATGAAAAATCTTTACATCTGGGAATTCTCTTGTATCAATTATTAAGTCTATGTCTTCCACCATTAAATAGAGCAAAATTACAAGAATTTTTAAAATTTGTTTCTCATCTATCATCGACTTACACTAAGGTATTGTATTAACGTTTTTATTTATATTATAAACGCACAAATTAATTGTAAAACTTTGGTATACCATTTAAAACACTCATATATTCAAAGTAGACTTTTTATGATTATTTAAAGACAAAATAATTAAAGCTTGTAAATGTTTCTATCTAATATTTGATTTTAATGCTGATATATTAAAACATATTAGTTATATTTAAATATTTGACAACAGTTGATAATTTTAACAAATTAGAAAATATTTAAGTAAAATATTATTCAATTTGTAATTTAAAAAACAAGTTAATTAATTTCAAAAATTGTATAGGTTTTTTTTTTTTTAATACAAATAATTATTTTATAAATTTTGAAGTCACATTTAAAATTTCAAAATTATTTTAGTTAAATTAATATGAGATTAATTTGTTATTCTAGATGCTATTTTATTAATTTTACTAAGAAATCTTTATTTTAATATTAATACCTAAACACTCGGAGAATTTACTTTTTTTGTACATATGTCTATTTTTCATATAATATTGCATAATTTATGTGTATGTTAATAATATTTTGACCCATGTTTTTTTTAGATCACTGATAGATTATGCTGTGCAGTATTGAGACAAAATACTAATCAATTTGAATATGATTGTTTAGCTACTGATGTTGTCAAATTTTTAATTCATAATCAAAAATTAATATTTTTACCTATTAAAACAGATTCAATTTTATCAGAAAAGTTTAATTCTTTCAGAAATGATGATAAAAATTTTAAAGTTAGTATAAAGTATTAAAAATATATAATTAGTTTCACAAGAAATATGACTTGATAGTTAATTCTCACAAACCTAGTAGTTCAAACATTTCAAAAAAACTTATGCTTTTTATTTTCCAGCTTAAATTGAGGACCTCATAATTTGAAAAAAAATTACATAAGCAACATTACTATTGAGTTAATTTTTTTGTGAAACACACTATATCTGTTGAAAATAAAAATTATGAAATTTTTTTTATAATTATGTAAAATTATAATGTATTCTTGATAAAAATTTGATTTGTTTAATATATTTATATATTATCAACACTTTTTTAAGGGAATATAATTAAATAAAACTTTTTTTATTCAAAATAATAATAAATATATAATATTAAAATAAATGAACTTTATATTAAAAACGAATATTACACTGTATTTTAGGATAGTATGCACTATTGTCTTAGAATATCAGACAAAGAATTTGAAAAACAAAGAAGTACTGAATCTAAAGAAGCCCTTATTGAATTGTTGGATCAAATTATTAATAGTTCATCAATGTCTAATAAAGAAAAGAGTAAACGTATAAAATTAGTAAGTTATGAATGTTATGATATAAATTTTAAAAATGTTGTTTTATATTTATATTTTGAAATATAGACTATTATAGTTAAATTTCAATCGATGATACTTATTTACTGTTATTTCTTTTTTAGTTTCAAAAAATGTATCCTGATGTCTATGAGAGAAGATCTACACTCCTAGAGCAACATAAAAAACAAAATCCAGTATTAAAAGAAATTAGAGTTTAAAATTTTCGAATTTAACAAAGAAATTAAATACTACTTATTATTATTAAAATTATTTTTTATTATGTTAATAGTATTTTAAGTATAGATGTTGCATAATATCAAAGATAAATTCAAACTTAATTTTATGGACAATTTTAAGCTTGATATAAGACCAACTTAGTATACTTTTTTTATCTATTATAATAAAGTGGTGCTTATATATTTGTAAAATAATTAAAGTTTTTTAACCATACCTTAGTTATTAATTAATGTGTACACGGTTTAATTAAAATATATTTATTTTCTATTATTTGTGATATAATTATCTTTTTTTAACTACAACCTTTGCTGCCTTATTAAAATATTTGTTGTTCATTAGTTTTTAATCATTTTTGAAATTTATTTATTGCTTGATAAAAGAAAATTTTTATTATAACAAGCAAACAATAAGTTTTAATTTATATGCAGTATTACTCTACAGTATATTTTGCATGTTATTATTATATTAATAAAGAAACCTAATAATCATGCCAATGAAGCTTAGGTATAACATAATTATTAATTTGAAAATGAGGCTGCTTATACAGTTTATAAGCACCTAATGCACTCATTATCTAACAATTAAGACTTATTACTAAAAGATTGAAATTTGTTCATACATATTTAAACATCAAAAATTTTAATAACAGCCATAAAACATAAATTAGAAAAAGAAAGATAAAGTAAAAAAAAAAAATTTAAAGCGCATCATATTCTTGGACGGAACTGAACTCAACCATACAAGTAATATTTGACAGGTACTGGATTTCCATAGCTGAATAAAATATTGAATAGGAGTAAAGTATAGACAATTCATTATACATATCATCTATGACCATTTTTAGATTCTGGATGTATTAAGAAATTAAGTACTTGTATCAGTATTAAAAGATTCAAAATTTTACTGTACATAAAAAATGATAATATAAATACTTTGTTTACAATTTTAAGATTCAATGGTTATTTGTTTTTGAATTAACAAAATAAATAAATCTATTTTACCGAAAACCTCTCCCGAGACTAAAATATTTTTCATGGTAAAATCAATACATTTATCACTCAACTCAAAATCTAAACAATATTCCTATCTTATACAAACATTACAAACATTTTTTTTTTTTGTTATAACTGTTATAAGCATTTGAAATTAAAATTTGAACAATTCTGGATATTTAAACGAAGATTAATAATTTTAGTTATTTTGTTGTAATTCAAAAATATTGTTGGTAGTAATTTGAAGCTTTTAACGTATTTGCACATCAACATTCCTGCAATTTTTGCCATACAATAATAAAAGTATTTATAATAATAATAATAATAATAATAATAATAATAATAATATTGTAATATATTTATACATTTCTTAAAATGTTTTATAGAATTAGGATCTGTGAATCCAGCTTAAGTAACACTCTTGATAAAAGTTAGCAGGTAGGTAAGTTATTTAGTTTGTGTACAAAATACGTATTTTCAATATAAGATTGAATTTATCTTTTACCTAGTTGTTATTAAAAGGAATTATTTAATTTTTACAGAATAAACATTTGCTTTTTTATTAAGAATAATGGTTAATAATTACGTTGGTTTTGTTGATGTAATAATACAATATTAATATTAATATAACAAAATAATATATAAAATTTTATAAATTATAATATATGTTATGTATAAGTACCAACTGATATAATATATTGTAACTTATAAACATAAAGCATAGCATTGCACTTATATTCATTATGACTTCTAAAATTTTTAAACTATTCCAAAGTCAGAACGATATTTTTATCAAAGCACCCGAATGAATTTAGTTATACCTAGTTAACTAACACCCGAAAAATTGTTATTTCACGAGTTTTATGTAATAAATACTTTAAACATTTCGTATATTGTTATTGATCTGTACTATTTGTATCTAGTCATTCAAATAACGGATTTTGTAATTGATTGTTTAAAGATAATTATTTAGTAATTCTTGACATCAACAATTTTGAAATTAATACATTAACTTATACTTTTAATCCATTTTATATTTAATATTGTGTATCAGTGATAGGTATTTTACGAGTTTAATTATAAAGTTTTCCTAAACTATCTAACACCCGCACATTAACTGTTATGAATACCTTCCTAAGCATTTGCATAATTTTTTTTATTTCGGCGTTAGATAATCTGAATACATTCAGCACCAGAAACCCAAAATTCGAATAAACAATTCGGGCACTAAGCCTCGATTGTAAGTTACAATTTGAAATCACTCCCGAAAATATTTCTCGGTTGCGTCACTTCCAAACGCCATCACATCATTACAAACGGACCTACCGATTTACACAGAAAACGATGTGAAAATAATTGTATACATCTAAAATCTGCGACTACGTTACGCTACATCGTTATGTTATATTTTTTTTCCCGGTCTCGTCAGCACTCGGCGCGTACAACGATAACGACGATAACACGCTCTCTGTTATCTTCGCGATAAAATAATTTTGACCAGATTTGTCGGCGGCGGAGTAGTAGTAGCAGGATGATGGCCTGGTGTCGGTGGAGGAGGAAGTGGACCTTGTGTACCTCGAACAACACCGACAGATGATTATTATTATTATATTATGTTATGATAGTACAGCGGACTTTGGAATCGTATGTACTCACAACTAACGCGGTGTTTGTGCGTTTCCATTTCGTGATTGTATTAAATTTTCAAACTTCGTCGGACGAACGTCGGTGATGTAGAATTACGGTATACGTGCATTTATATTATATTGGTTATTGGGTGTTTTTATTATTACTTTCGATTTATAACAACGGAATCTCCGTGTCGCCACTGTAATCATCACCATCATTTTGAACCCAAAATCGGTATTGTTTACTCCCTTTATCGTGATCGCCCGCTAGTGCTATGTTTGGTTAGGTACGTTTTCGGGAAAAAGGTACTCGAGGTTTTTGATTATTCTCTACTACAACGCCCTGGACGAAACCAGACTTACGACCACCGTGGTCAAGAAGCCCTTTCTACACCAGAGTCGTGTGAATGGCATGACTGCACATTTATTGTCGATTTGGGAAATTTGTTGATATTAACCCGTAAGTGTAATATTATAATTCTTGTAAGTCATACACCTAACCTAACTCAACAAGTCACTAGAATGGGTTATTATGAAACGATACAGACTGAGTTAATGGTCAATTTAAGTGTTTTTATCTAATGATTAGAGATTCAACCGTTAATCAATTAATACATTTTTTTAGTCTTATTGACACTTTCTAATAATAAGAGTTAATATCGGTGTTGTAACAGATAACATTTTTTATTACTCGTTAAGAAAAACAACATTTTAATTTGTTCATTAAATTAAAAATTTTAATTTTTCTAATAGGTAAATCATTTTAAATAGGTAAGGAAGTAATAAAATAATTATAAAACATGTGATAAAAACAAAAAAATTTCTTTATAATATATTTATATGTATTTACTGTCAAAAATTCCAAAATAAGCATAAATAAATGATCCACTAAAAATGGACCTATACTTAATTAAAATCTATACATCAAATTTAGTTATTGTTTTTTATATCAATCAAGTTACAATTTAAAAAAGTATTTTAAATTTTAAGAATAAATAAAAATTAAATATTTACCTTTAAATATTTACTATATTATATAATGTATAATTAATTAATTCAAATATGTATGTGTAAACCATTATTAAATATTTATCTGGTATTTATTTTATGTTTTAAAGATTTAATGTTATGAAGACTCATTATACTTTTGATTCTAATTAATGTAAAGATTGTATGTATCTTTTTGTACATTTTTTTTAATTGTCTGTTCATATTTTTGAGCAGAAATAATATTCAATTTTGAAGGTTGTTTTTGATTAAAAAACTGATTCTAGTTAGTACTTTAGAAAATGAAAGGCATAAAATCCTAAGAAATTTTTAACATAACTTAAAAAAATTAGATTAAAAACAGAAATATTTTGCATAAAACAAAACTTAAAACTTTCCACTATTATTTAAATTATTAATTTCAATACTTAATGAAATTTTTAAGTTATTTATGAAGGTTTGAAATTTGAAAAAAAATGTTCCTCAAAAACTTGAACATTTTATCTATATTAATTATTTTTTTTCAAGCACCTATTTAATGTTTTCATAAAGTTTTATCACAAAAATTTTCATAAAAATATTAGGTACACATATACATTAAAAAAACAACTTAAAAAAAATTATTTATACCTTTATAAAGTTTTATTTAAACATTTAGAAAGTAATGATTAAAATTAATTGCCTAATAAGAGTTTTTTTTTTAAGAACACAAATAAACATTTATTTTTGAAAAAAAATTTAATGTAATTAATAAATATTTTTTTTATATTTTACTATATAAAAGGTTTAGATTCTTTCATTTTTTGTGTATTGTTCAGGAATATATCACAATTAACATTGATTTTTGTTTGTGCATAAATATAAAGTACTTATAGATTATATTTACAGTAATAGACTCACTTTAATAGATACAAGTAATACGGTTTAATTTTGATTTAAATAATAAATTTTAGTATCAACATTGTTTTTTATAATACATCAAAATTTTTTCACAATATCAATATTAAAAACATTTATAATAAAACATTTTTAATATCTTGTATTTATGATAATACCTACTTTTAAAATTGAACACAATACATATGCTAATCAATCAGCCTAAATTTGTAAAATGTATTATCATTAGACTTTTAATATAGTAACTATTTCAAGATTCTTTAAAAAAAATTACACTTTAGCTACTGCAAAATCAAAATTTAAACATACAGTAGAGCCTTGATAGTCCAAAAGAATTCTGACAGAGCATCATCCAAATTACCACAAGGTTTTAAAAATAACCTACTCAAATGTCTAAAATTTTTATTTTTTATTTCACTACCTTTATATTTATTTAATTTTAAATTTAAAAACTAATAATTAACTTTAACATAATGAATTACAAAAAAAAAAAAAGTGTATATAATAATGGAACTTAAGTATAGTAGTCAGTAATTTTTTTCTGAATAATACTTTTAATTCCGAACAAACTATAAATGTATTTACGAATAAAGGGATTTATGCTATCCAGATTACTGCATTCGCGGGATTATCAGGGATCTGAACTATCTAGGCTCTACTGTATAACAAGTTTATAAAATTCTCCATGACATTACTTGTTATATAAATTAGATGATAATTTTAGTCTTATATTACATTAGTTACTGCACAATTTCATTTATAATATTTATTATATTAAATTATGAATAAATATTGAAAAAAGTATATATTTTAATTATTTAATTGTCTTAGGTAATTAATCAATTTATATTTAACATGCATTTGTATTCTAATTGTAAACTCAACATTTTTGCATGGACATGGTCAATAAAAATAATATAAATGACATTTATAATATTTAAATTTTTATTATTACACTATATAATAAAACTGGTGATATTTAATTAAATAGTTAAATTAATTTTTTATTAAAGTAAAATAAACATTATATAGAAATTCTGATAAAATTATTTTAACATCACTCTGAATCATCTCTAATAGATAATATGTTTTTGTACAAGAAATGATATATTATTTTAATCAATAATAAAAGGTTTTGTATTTTATTGGCCTGGTTATTTAAATATGTTTAAAAGTGTTTTAGATTAATTTTGAATTATAAGACAAAGAATATAAATAAACTTTAAAATATGTTATATTTTAATTAAATTCATGGCTGAAGTTCATAAATAATTAATTTAAAAAAGAAATAATGAAATTTAAAAAAAAAATAATACCTATGCTTGTCATAAACAATTATTTTTCAAATAATTTAATTAATTGCATTTATTTTTCAGGTTTGGATTTCAACAACCATGCAAATATAAATAAACTAGCTATAAACAATACTATGATCTTACTTTTTATTTTATTTCAAACTTTATTTGTATTGTAGTCAGTAAAAAATAATTCTAATATGGCTGCACATTGTTTTGATCCTAACAATAAAGCCAGGTATGTTTAAAAAATTGTACATTTTTATTTTTTTTACTAAAAATTTATTGATTTTTTTAGTTGGTATTTTGGACAAATGTCACGTATTGAAGCTTCTGATTTATTAATGGGTGAACGAGAATGTGGAACATTTTTAATTAGAGATAGTCTTAGTATTCAAGGAGACTATGTCTTATGTGTGAGGTATGTAATTATAAATTATTTAAGAGAATTATGTGACTAGTTTCAATACTATTTTGGAATATTCTTGAAAATATGATCAAGCTTTAAGTTAATCATATTTTACAAAAAATATTTTCAAATTTAAATAAAATTTAAAGTAAAATTGCATAGTCAATAAAATTTTAGATTTATAAAATTATATTTTTCACCATTTTGTTTGAAAATCAACATTTTTTTTTTTTTTACAGTATTTTTCTGGTAAATATAATTTAAATTGCAAACATTGATTTAATGTAACCAGTAAATTTGATAACATTCATAATTTAAAATTTATTTAAATAAAAATAATCTAATTTTTCTAATTTTGAGATATATTATATTTTTGGGGGGAATTGAAAGGAATTGCATTAAAATAACATTAAACATATATAAATTATACTTTTAACATATTAAATCTATATAATATAAACAATTGATTTTTCTACGATAAATTAATTTTAAATTTAATATGATATGCACTTATTATTATTATTTTTTTTTATTTTTTTTGTTATTTGTATAAAAATTATGATCAGATTATAAAACTGTATATAGTATATAGTAAAATACAGTTATTACTGATTATAAATAAAATAATTTAATTATACGTTCATTCAATTAAGACCATAATTATTTTTATACAATGATTTAATTAAATATATTATTTATTGATGTTACAGAGAAGATAGCAAAGTTAGTCATTACATTATCAATAAAATACAAGAAAATAATGAAATAAAATATCGAATTGGTGATCAGATGTTTGCGGATTTGCCTAGTTTATTAGCATTTTATAAATTACATTACCTCGATACTACTCCTCTTTTGAAACCCGCTGTTAAACCAATAGAAAAAGTTGTTGCCAAGTATGACTTTGTTGGAAATGTAAGATTTTATTTCAGTTATTTCATATACATTGATTATACAATATTAAATTACATTTTTAAATTTTTTCTTTAGGATCAAGATGATCTACCATTTAGAAAAGGAGATATTTTAACAATTCTTGTAAAAGACGAAGAACAATGGTGGACTGCTAAAAATATAATGGGTCAAATGGGTTCTATTCCAGTTCCATATGTACAAAAAGTTAGCTATTTTATATTTTGAATTATTATATTCAGTATAGATTTCTAAACAGTGAAATTTTATAAATTATAATAAATATATTATAGTGTGATGTTTAAAATTTCTCTAGCCCACAATTAGAAAGTATTTTTATTGTTATAAATATTTGATACTGGTAATAAAAGTATCTATTGATATATACTAAAAAAAATTAATTATTCAAAAGATTGTTTGCCAATCAATTTCTTAGATGCAAGATCGTCTTGAATTTATTCATTAAAAATTTTCATATAATACACAAAAGTTATATCCATATATGTATTTTTAATTTTTATGACAACTATTAAATAAATAAAAAGAATTTTTTTTTACCTAATCACAACACTTAATTATTAGTAAAATTATAAAGAAAGTACGATTTATTAATATTAATTACATTATTTAACTAAAGCATTATGTTAAAATATAAACAACTATAATATGTAATCATTTATGATGTAAAAAAGTAAATAAATTGTATCTTAATTCTATGTTTAATTTTAAATTTTATTTTAGTATGAAGGAAATCCAACATTACCAACAAAAGATAATAATCAAATTCCTGGATCTAATAATGAGTCGACATTAAGACGGTCTAGTCTTCAAGTAAGTTGATTGATTTATTTAATAAAATATTGTTTGTCAACTCTTTTTTAATTTATTTTTAAATTAAACTATCTACATAAAATTCTTATTTAAATTAAAGTTGAATTGTATACTAAGTTAACATATTTAATTCTATGAATAGAGCTCTTAAATTTAAATACTACGAGTATAGCAGGTTAATTAGGAAATTATTTATTTACGAGTTGTTTTTTTTTTTTTTAATTTTTTTTTTTGTTAATATAGAAAAAATTACCAGCTCTTGCTAGAGTTAAACAAGTTCGTGTACCAAACGCCTATGACAAGACAGCATTAAAACTTGAAATTGGAGATATAATCAAAGTAACAAAAACTAATATTAATGGTCAATGGGAAGGAGAACTAAATGGTAAAACTGGGCATTTTCCATTTACTCATGTAGAGTTTGTGGATTCTGAAATGAATGATTGTATAAGTGACAGTTAATTGCTTCTCAATTTTCTTAGTTATTATTTGATTATTTTTAAAATAAGTGATGCTAATGGCAACTAACTAGATAGATTAATACAGATATATTTTATTATAATGAATCTTTGTATGTTAATTCATTAAGATAGAGATTTATCTACTTAATTGAAATAAATCAAGTATACATGTATCAGACAACTTCATTATGTAAAGAAATATTGAATTAATTGTAAAGTATACCTTTATTGCATTAATTTTCCAATAAAGCAATAGCAAGTGAAACATATCAAAATCAAATTTTAATAATATAAATTAAAAAAATTACATAAATTAGGTCTGATACAACTGAATAACTTACAATATTAACTATATTTTAACTATATTATTTTTTAGTTTTTATTTAAAAAAATAAATAAGCGATCAACAATTAGATAAACAATATACATTTATATGACCAACTAATTAAACAAATTAGTCAATTAATGACTAACAAAATAATTTTTTTTTTAACTTGAGACCAACAAATAATTTAAATAATAGTTATGATATTTACTTATGAAAATATATTTTATATTTATTCAAACCAGTTTATAATATCAATTATTAAAATTGTTTAACATTTATAAAAAAAAAAAAATAGTACCATGAATTTGATTATTATTTATTACTCATTCGTTTTTATGACATGAATCTAAAATGTTAATTTTTTAATAAAACTAATTATAATAATCACAAAATATGTATGACAACATAACCTTTGACCAAAAATACTGTAACTAATTTGACATAATAATTATTTCAGTATAAACTGTTAATATAAAAGCTTTATTTTTTTCATTTGTTAAAAAGTTTATTTTTTTTAACATCTAATATTTATACAGATCATTTTAAATGACTTAAATATAAAATAATGCTTAAATCTTTGTTGCAAATTCTAAATGTTTATATTAGTGTTGTTTATTAAACATTATAATTTTGAATAATTATCAATTATTGCTATTGCGGGAAAAGTATTCTTGAATGATACAAAATAAATGCTATATAACTTACTAAAAATACTCAGATAATAATACTATTAGATTAGTTTGTTAAAGTTTGATGTAATTTAAAAACAATATCTTGAAATAAATGTAAAAATTTTAATTTATACTACCAAATTAGGTAAAATTTATCTATTTCATTAAGTTTTTATTTTGTTTGTAATATAATGTTTAATTACACAATTTAAAAAATATATATTAATTTGAATATATAATATATATTAGTACTATATGAAAGCTTACTAATCTGATTTACTTTTTGACATAAATTTATAAATGTATGCTTCACAATATGTATATTAAAATTAACTACCAACATTTTAATTATTTACTATTAGAATTTGTATGTTTGGCGTTTGTAATCATTTTTTTTATACATATATTAGCCTTGGTATCATTGACTATTAACTTTTTTATTATATATATTTTAACTTACATTAGCTTACATTTTTTTTTATGTATACATGTACATGGTTTACAATAATTTATCTAGTTTTGAGTTGTTATAGAAGGTAATTAGCTACTGTGTGTTGTCTGGGTTAAAGACTCCCAACTTAATGCTGAAAATCTTTTTTTCTTCTGATTGTAATTATTATAGATTAAACAATAATTTACCATTTTTATTTTTTTATTTTTAATGTGTTGTAAATAAAAATAAAAAACAAACAACCCAGACTTTTTTATAGAAAAATACTATATCTCTTCTTATGTTTCTCCTTAATTCTTAAATTTTTGTTAAGTTTTTTCAAAGTACAATTGAAAATAAAAATGTTTGTCAAATCAAACACTAGAGTTGTCCAACTTTAAACAATATTTGATACTTTAATTTAATTATATTAGGTAGGTCTAGTATTATGTGACCTGGATTCTGTCATCTCAGTGATGTTTGATTGACTAATAAGAAATATAAAAATAAATGTTATTATTTCTTACCTAATTCAACTGAACAGTAACTCGATTATCTTTACTTTCTCACCAGTTCAAATAATGATGAAAAAGAAAAATAATACTAAATCTATTAATAATATCATGTGTACAATTCAATGATTACTAATCATTAATCAATAGTAATAATAAGAGTAACAAAATTTGAGTAGTAATTAATGAGTAAATTGTAGTTCAATAAGTATTATTAAAATTATAGTAGAAATTGTTTAGAGTAACATTCTAAGGACAAGGAAAAATAGGTCATAATAACTAATAGTATTAACAATTGAAGTTTAAAAGAAAATTATGATGAATAGTATACCTACATTATTAAAAAGAAATTTATTATTTTTATTGATAACTTGTTTTTATTTTAAATGTCAGTTGGGTTTATCTTTTGTTTCTAATTTTTTAAAGTTGGTTTTGATCTCATATAATTAGCTGCCATCAAATTTGACTATGATTATTTAATATTTTGCTTTATCTTAAAATATATTCTTGTTTTGCACCGTTGATAATATTATTTGAGCTTTAGATACTGTAAAAGATATGCTTTTTGTCTAAATTTACCAAAAAAAAATATTGTTATGTCTTAATAGTAATTATAAGACCATCATAGCAACAGATAAAAATTATACTAGACAGATGTTTTGCCAGGACCTTAGATTTTAGGTCATTGACATACTGATAAGGTATGTTAGTATAACTAGTGTCATCATAAATGATTTTTACTGTATGTAATTCTTATAATACATGTATAATATCATAAAAACTTATTTAATTAATGAAATATTAAAATAAATAAATGATAATCTCATTAAATAATTATTGTTATCGTCTTGTTTTAAAAATATATAATCTTTATTTGGTCATCTGATTTTGTCCGCTAAAAATAATGATTTAAGACATAAACACAGGGCTCACCTTATCAACTTGGAGAAAATTTTAATAACAGTATTATTGATATTTTTAATTTACCCTAATAGTTAAAATTTGTAATTTTTTATCATGCAAATTATAAATAATATGTTCTACAACACTTTAATATCATACATAATAGAGTATTTGGATATTTTTCGTTCTTCACTTATTTTTGGTGAGAAACTTAGTTCAAGAGATTAACATTATATTTGTAATTATATAATATTATCTATAAAAGTCATATACAAATAATTAGTGGATATGTAAAAATATGTAAAATGAAAGTAAATAATAATAATAAAAAAAAAAAAAATTAGTGAATATTTCAAGTATTTATAGTTATACATTTTTAATATAATAAATTAAAATCAATTTTGTAAAATCTGCTCTATTAAATTTTTTTTTCTTATTTTTTGTTATTGGTATTACCAATCATATTAAATTTGCTACTAGAAACCAACTCAAATTTAAATATTGAATCCAGTTTATTTCTAGAAATAAGCTATAACTACATAATATGCTAGTGTATGATCTAAAATTTAAATTATATGAGTTTATGATTTAAAGTTTCCTTGGAAACCTAAAGCACATTAACTTAGTGTTTCACTAGATTTTATAAAAAAATTTTTGAATGACATACATTTTTAATTTCATATTATAAAGTTGAATATTTTTCTTAGAATTTTGTTGTATAAAATTAGATTTTCAAATTATCTGTTAATTAGTTAAGCCACTATACAGGTGTAATAGAAAGATCTGATGAATAAAAATAAAAAATTAATACAAGCTTAACACATGAAAAAAAAAATATAGAAATTGTCTTATAATTATTATTGACATTCTTAGTGAGTCCCAATAGGCATATTATACCTAATATTTTGTAAATAAATAATAATAATAATAATAATAATAATAAAAATAATAATAAATAATTTATAATTTATTTATGTCTGAAAATTCCCGAAGATTATATTTTGAAAATGTTATTAGATACATTTTAAATGAATTTATTAAACAAAAATAAAAATAATAATAATTTATAAATTTAAAGAATAACTTAAATACATAGGTACTAGACTTTTACTTAACATTTTTACCATTTGAATTTTTCCCCAAAAAAATATTAAATTTAAAATTTTTTTATTTTCTGTTTTGAAAAATAAATTTTCTGAATTTTAAATTTTGCACTTTACGGTTTTCTGAAATAATCGATTCCATTGGAACAAATATTGGCATTCGATCTCGATGTCCATGCAACTAACTCATTAACTAGATGATTTATTGTAATTGAAAACACCCAGTCAACAAATGTATGAGAAAATCTTTAGGTAGATCGTATATACCATAAAAAAATAAAAGCATTAATAATAATCAATTTATAATGTTGTTATTAGTGTTCTATTCTTGCGGCATACCATTCATCCAGAATCCAGATAATTTATTGTGCGCGTTATATTATGTAACACACAGACACTGTCTATTGTTATGTTATTGACCTGCATTTGTTAGTTGATAATTTATTTCACGCAAAACTGGAGATCTGAAAAATGCAAATGAAGCAAATTTTTGTCTATTTACTTGCTCATTTTCCAGTTATCTTCTAATTGGTACCTTTGGATTTGGAAAGTCATTTTTGGACATTTCTGATAATGCATTAGGAAAAATATCAAATGACGGCAGATGGTAAAATACAATTTTTTTCCAATACTAGTTTTAATATTTTTAAAAGTTCTAAAAATTTCAAAAATATGTGGTATATTTTCTATTTTCCCGTACTCTTCAAAATAATCGGATAATAAACTATGAAAAAGAATGATTTTTACTCAAAATTTTTGTTTTTAATGAAAATAACAAAATAGATTTCAAAAACTGAATTTGCGTAAAAATTTAATATATGTTCAACAAAATAAATATGTAAATAATATGACATGAAAAATGTATTGAAATTTATTTTCATATAGGTATTAAATAGTTTAAACAACAGCTATTTAAAATGTATATTTAGTTATTTGAATTAACCTTTATGATTATGAGTAAATGTATACATTTTGGTGTCTAGTTGTCTAGGTAATGTGTACTTGGAAATTATCAGTTATTATGTACATTATAACATTTTATCTATGTACGTTGGGATTTTTACGATATTTAAATTTTTAAAAGTTATAACTTATAAGCATTAAGCACCATGTAATTAGTGTTTCCCAATCTATGAATTGGCGGTCGCGACCTATAATTAAAATATATATGAAAATAATTTTAAAAGAAAATTTATAAGTGCCTAAGTTATGTTTTATTTAATACCTCTACGCATAATAAATTATAATAATGTGAAGTATCGCTAGTATTGTACAATATATATATATCA